CCCCCCCCCCCCCCCCCGTTTGTGACCTCGCCAACAACGTTGCAACACAGCCGCCTGGATCTGTACTCGCTCCAGTGGGACAACATCCGCCTGCAGGATTACAAGAGCGCGGTGGCTCCCTTCGGCGGCCCCATTGCCCTGGTCCGCGATGACACCAAGTTGGTTTCCATCAACAAGGGCACCTCCGGCCGCCGGCGGATCATGATTTATTCCTCCTCGGGGCAGCTGCTTCGTGAGATCCCCGTGCGTGAGATTCCCCCGCCCGGTGCCTTGGCTCTTCCCTCTTCCTCTGCCCCCCTCTTCGCCGTCTGGTCCGATGCTTTGCCAGCCCCGGGGTGGGGCCAAATTCTAACTCCCGCTCGGGCACCTTGCCTTGCCCCCGCCGCCGCCGCGCATGCGTCCCAACCGGCAGGATGACAAGCCGAAGCTCGTGTCGATTGGCTGGCTGGAGGACGAGCGCCTGGCGTGTGTCTATGAAGATGGCATCATTCGGATCTACAACATTCTCGGGGCCCAGGGCGACTTTGTGTCCTTCAACACCCTGCGGGACAAGCGCATCATCGATTGTCAAATCCTGCCGACGGTGATCGTGGTCCTCACCTCGGAGCTTGACTTCATCGTGGTGTCGTCGATGCACGCGCCACGCATGAGTGCCCTGGCCAAGACCGGTACGCCCGACACCGCCTCTGCATTCCGGGCTCCTGCTGGCTCTCCTCCCTCGCCTTCCCCTTTCCGGCCGTCTGCCTTCCCACCATGCTGATGTCCCTCCCCCCCTCCACCCCTGTCTCTCTGACCCCTTCTCGCCCTCTCGACAGGCCTGACTTCTCGGCCCACTTCCTGGCTGGCGTTGGATCCGCGCAAGAACTCCAACAGCTTCGAGGTTTTCTTCTCCGACGCGAATGGCATCCAGCGTCTGACGCGCTCGTCATCGGTTGCCTTCGTGCGTACCCCCTGCTGAGCCCCGCTGACTGCCGCCTCTCCATCCTGTTCTCTTTTTTTTTTCTGCTCGCTCCGTCCCCCTCTTGCCCGCCCGCTCCGTCTCTCGCTGACCCTGGTTCCATGTTGTCACAGCCGCCCAACAACACCATTTGCGCCACCCGCATGGCCATCACCGTGGATCTCAGCTACCTGGCGTTGGTGCACTCGACCAACCAGCTCCACATCTTCAACACGCAGACCGGCAAGTCCTTCGACCAGTTCCTCTACCGGTCGGAGGCGCCGACCGCCATGAGCTGGTGCTCCAATCATGTTGTCCTGCTCCACTGGCCCGGGGAGTTGCTTTGCGTGACGCCAGATGAGCAGCATTCGTGTGTGCCCAAACGCCCTTTTTTCTTTTGCCCCCTCCCCTTGGGCTTCGTTGCCCTCCTGCCTCCCCACCCTGGCCGGCTTTTCCAGTCCTAACTCTTTTTCCCCCCCCCCCCCCCCTGCGGCTTGCAGGTTCCCCTGTCTGCCGGATGAGCATCTGGTCCTGGCGCCGGAGCCCGACAGCATGCGTGTTTTCAGCTCGACCAACTGCTCGCTCGTGCAAATGGTGCCCAAGTCGGTGGAGTCCATCTTCTCGCTGTTGGCCTCGTCCCCGGCAAGTTCGCTGTATGAGGCCTTCCGCGCATTCGAGGTGCGCACCGTTCCCGGTGCAAACTGGCCGGCCTCACCCTCCCACCCCATGGCCACCTGTCTAACCTTCGCCTCTCGTCTCCCCGGCTGGCTCTTTGCCTGCGGCACGATCGCACGATCGCACGCCCGCACAATCGCATGATCGCACGCCCGCACACACACACACACACACACACACACACACAGAACAAATCCCCCGATGCGGATACCTACCTTCGGCGGATCAAGCACGTCCTCAAAGAGGCGGTGGATGGGTGCCTCGCTGCTGCAAGTGAGCAGTTCTGTCCCCGGTCGCAGGCGCAGCTCCTGAAGGCGGCCTCCTTCGGCAAGTGCTTCATCGACGCGGCAAGCGGCTATGATCATGGGCAGTTTGGCCGCATGTGTAACTGGCTGCGTGTGCTGAAGGCCGTGCGCCACCACTCGGTCGGCATCCCGATGACCTACTTCCAGGTGACCTCTCGCCCGGCGGACGAGCTGATCCGAATGCTCACGCGCCGGCACATGCACCTGCTGGCGCTGCGCATTGCGCAGTTCCTCAACCACGCGGAGGCTACCATGCCGGGCCCGGCCGTCGCGGGCAAGGCCCCGGCCGCGCCGATCCGCGTGGACCAGATCCTGGTGGACTGGGCCCGGGAGAAGGTTCGCCAGTCGACCAATGACGAGGAGCTGTGCTGGCTGATCCGCGAAAAGTTCCGCTCCTGCCCGGGCGTGGCATATGCCGACGTGGCAGACATGGCCTTCCAAACCAAGCGCGAGCGTCTGGCGGAGAACCTGCTGGAATTCGAGCCGCATCCCGGCCGGCAGGTGCCGCTGCTGCTGAAGATGGGCAAGAATGAAAAGGCCCTGCAGCGGGCGATCGAGTCGGGCGACCCGGACATGAGTGCGTGTTTTCTCCCCCCGCCCCCCCGCCCCCCCCCCTCCCCCCCTTTTCCGTGCCTTTCCTGTTGCTTGGATACTCTTGCTGACAGGTGCCATGCCTCTCCTCCCGCCCTGTCCCCTGTTGGCAGTCAATGAGCTTCTCGGGGAGATGAGCGAGAACATGTCGCCGACCGAGTTCCTGGCCCTCTTCAAGAGCAATCCCGCGGCGGTGCCCCTGCTGGAGTCCTTCTGCCTGAAGTACAACCGGTCGCTGTTGCGGAGTTTCTACTACCAGTATGACCGACATGTGTCGGTGGGGTCGCTGCTGGCCCTGCAGAAGCCGGCTGGCGAGGGGGCCGAGGCGCGCATCAAGGATCTGAAGGCGGCCTTCGACCAGTTCCAGCTCGGAGGCGATAGCCCGGCGCTGCGGAGCACGGCCGATGCGCTGGCCGGCTTTACGCAGGACGAAATCAAGCTCCAGCGCTTCCAGCAGGACCTGGATCTGCTGGCCATCAAGAAGAAGCTTTCCCTCGGGGTGGACCGGCTGCCGGCCACCTTCGTGGGGCTGACCTATGCCGACACCCTGCGTGGGCTGTTCTTCCTGGATCATGCCCTGGCTGGCGCTTCGTCCGGGGCGCAGCTTGGCACTTCGGAGCGGGCATTCGACTTCTTCCGGCAGTACAAGATCCCCGACCGACAGTACTGGTGGGTGAAGTTGGATGTCTGCTGCCTGGCGAGAAATTGGCCGGAGCTCGAGCGCATGGTGGGGTCGGCCAAGAACCCGATCGGCTTCCAGGCCTTCGTGGATGGCCTGCTGGCCGGGGAGGCCCCCCCGTCGGAGGTGGCCAAGTATGTGAAGCGTCTGCCGGCGGCCGCGGACCGGGCTCGGTACTTCTCGCGGATTATGTACTGGAAGGAGGCCCATGCGGCGGCCGTCGAGGCCAAGGATCTGGCCCTGTTGGAGGAGCTGCGCGCGGCCTGTCGCGACCGGGAGGTGGTGGTCAGCTTCGATCGGTCGATCAGCCAGATGCAGTCGCGCCGCTGAGAGGGCAGCGGGGGGGGGGGGAAAGACACCATCAAGCGAATCGGTTTGTGGCCCTCTTTTCGGCTCTCTCTCTCTCTCTCTCCTCCTTCCTCTCCCCCCATCTGCTGTCTTTCTCCCTCTCCCCCCCCCCCTCCCTCTTCTTGGGGCCGTGTATGTGTGTATGTCCATGCGTGGAGAGTATGTCTAGCGAATGGAAGCACTTTTTCTCCGTTATTTCTATTGGTACATTTGCGCTGATGGATTGCGACAAACCTTCCCCATGGGTGGAACACAGGGAGGCCAGGGCTTTGGGCAAGGCCGCACTCTCAATTGTTGAGCTTGTAGGTGTATCTGCCATGCGACAGCAAGGGGGTGGGCAATGTCAGGGACCGAGGGTGTGCACGTGGCTTCGGGGGAGGGGGACGCAAAACAAAGGGCCAAGGGCAAGGGACGAAGGGGGACGGCAGGGCAGATGGCCGGGCGCCCGGCAGTGGGCCGGGACAGGGCCAGGAGGCGAGTGACGTACGAGCACTTGGTGCAAGTGTAGAAGATCGTGGCACCCTCATCGGCCGAGCGAAGCTGCATCGTACGGAAGGACATCTCGTCGTGGCCGCACTTCGGGCAGATTTCGCGCACAGTGGCACCCTTGCCAAGCTCGGCGGCGGCCAGCTCGGCGGCAGCAGCCCGGCGCGATGCGTGGCCCACGCGGTGCTTCTCAAAGAACCCGGGCCGGCTCTGGGTAATGTTGATGGCGTCCTCGAATTCTGCGCCGGGGGGAAGCATCAGAGAGGGGTCAGATCGAGCAGCAGCAGCAGCAGCAGCAGCAGCAGCAGCAGCAGCCGACAAGAGGCGGGCCCCGGAGGGGAGGAAGATGCGCGTACCCTTGGCCGGGGTCAGGTGGAGACAGGTCGGGCAGGAGGCGGTCTTGTCATGGGTGGGGATGGACAGGAGGGAGCCGCAGAGAGCACAGAAGGGAGGGCCGCCGGAGGACTGGTTGACCATGGTGGGAGAGAAAGAGGGGAGGGGGGCAGCACACACGAGGCGAGACTGGGGGCTCGGGGGGGGGGGGGGGGGGGAGGAGATTTGGGCGGGCGCATGCCCTCCGAGCACGGGTGCGCGCACAAAAAAGCCGCGAGAGCCACGAGCGGGCTGCCATCGGAGGGTACGTTGGCAGTGGCCGAGATGCCCGATCGCCGCCAAGTTTGCGGCGGATCAAGAATGCCCGATGACGGTGGTTATGGGGAGCACCATTCCCCCTGTGTGGAAGAGGCACCCCGCCGCCTGGCGGGACGCGCCGGTCTGGGTGGCATTGCAGGGCATTGCTCTTCCTCTTCCCTCTCCACCTCTCTCGCCCTTCGCCTCCCCTCCCCCTTGTACTCCTTTTGTATTGGGCATCTTGACCGGCTCACCTCTCGGGCCGCGGGAAAAAGACCGAAACGCATGACTACCATCCGTCCCTTCCGGGCTGAGGATCTGTTTGAGACCAACCTCATGTATGTGGCCTGACCTTGCCTTTTACTTTGTCCCCTCCGATGAATGTCCCTGATCGCGGTGAAGCTCACGCACACGCACACGCACACACACACACACACACGCACACGCACGCACACACACACACACGCACACGCACGCACACGCACACACACGCACGCGCACGCACACACACGCACGCGCACTCACACACGTACACACACACACACACACACACACACACACACACACACACACACGAACTACCTCTTCCCCCCGCTGCAGCAACCTGGACCATCTGACGGAGAATGTGCGCTTCGTATGGTGCTGATATTGTGTGTCCTATCCACGGCCGTTCACTGACCCTGCCCCCCTGTGCTTAGTACAATGTGTCCTTCTACTTCACATACCTGGCCTCTTGGCCGGAGCTTTTCACGGCTGCGGTCAGCTCGGACAATACCATGATGGCTTATGGTGCGTTGGCAAGCCCATAGGGCGATGAGCACCTGCACTTGGCCGATCCCCTCGAGCATGGACGGGCGGCCGGGTCATGCCGATGACCATGCTGCCTGGTGGCCATCCACTCACTGACATGCTCCTTCCCTGAAGTTATGGGCAAGGTCGAGGGCAAGGGTACCCTGTGGCATGGCCATGTCACGGCCATCACGGTGGCGCCCATTTACCGTCGACTTGGTTTGGCTGCCAGCCTCATGCACTCGTTGGAGGAGATTTCCGAGAAATTGTGCGTCACCATTGCAAAGGGGCCGAGAGGAGGCGAGGGGAAAGGGCAGGTATTTTCTTGGCCATTTCCCTCATGGTGAAACCATGGCTCGGGACTGACTTTCGATCTCTCTCTCTCTCTCTCTCTCTCTCTCTTTGTCAGCCACGACACCTACTTTGTGGATTTATTCGTGCGGACAACCAACGCCGTGGCTATCAACATGTATAAGAAGCTGGGGTACACCATCTATCGCCGGGTGATCGGATACTACTCGAAGTCGGACGATGCCTATGGTACGCTACTTTCCCGGGCCCAGACGCGCAGGGCCTGCTTTCTGCTTTGGTCAGTATTAACATGCTCCCCCTTCTCGCCCATGTGGAGACAGATATGCGCCGGGCGTGTGCGCGCGATCCCAAGGGCTTGTCAGTGATCCCCATGACGCGGCCGGTCTACCCGCACGAAATCAATTTCGACTAAGATCCAGGCGCCCCCTGTGCCCTGGGGAGCCCCCCACAATGCACCGAGAGCATCTCCCCCCTCCTCGTCTGTCTTACCTGTCCCTGGCAGGGATACTTCCTCGGCTGTGACGAACGATGCAAGCTCGCATGTATGTATGTATGTGTGTGTGTGTGTGTGTGTGTGTGTGTGTGTGTGTATGTGCCGTGTGTGTTGTGCGGGAGGGAAGAGAGTAAATTTATTGCTTTTTATGTGTGCTTTTTTTCTAGATACGGGGCAAGAAGAGGAGAAGAGGTCAGCCTGGAGCAAAAGGGGCCAGCTGCGCAAGGATGTCACGAGCCGAGGGGCGTCCCTCGGGCTGCACATCCCAGCACCGTTCTATGAGGCTGGTGACTGCCTGCTCGGCGGGCTGGCCACCGAGGCTGGCTTTAAGCTCTGCCAGGCTGGGCCGCTCGCCGGCGAGGACTTGCTGGCGAATGTTCCTGCTCTTGAGCCCTGTTTGCCAATGTGCGAGAGGGGAGAGGGGGGGGGGGATAGACAGAGCAAGATCAGTTGCATGACACGTTATGCGTATGCGTGAGGGTTAGAAAGAACAGAATCCACTGCCAGGGATGAGGGGGGATAGAAGGGAAAAGGGGAGGGGGGGGGGGACGCACCGGACCAGGGCAGCTTGCGGCAGAAGATGCACCAGAGAACCATGCCGGCGGAGAAAACGTCACTTCCCCGGAGTGCGGAGTACTCGAGGAAGCGGCGTTGCGAGGAGGCGAACAGGAGCTGCGGACCGGCAAACAATCGGTCGGAGGGGCACACGCCAGGAAGCGGTCGGGGGAAAGGGAGGATGAGCAAGGGGAAGGGAGAAGAGGGAGGAGCAGCCGACGGGGCGCGGAAGGACATTCTGAACAGGGGTGGGGGGGGGGGGGGCGCACCTCGGGCGAGGAGTACGGCACGGCCGCGGGGTTCAGGGCCGGGGCGCGGCGGGAGGCATTCGGTGGGGCATCCTGCAGGGTGGAAAGGACATTGGAGGAGGCGAAGTCGCCGATGACCGCATTCCAGCTCCCATCCTCCGATTGACGGACGAGAATGTTGGCCGGACGAATGTCCCGATGGACAATACCACGGGTATGAACGGCAGCAAGGCCAGAAGCTGGGCGGTTTTGGGGGGGGGGGCCGTCGGCGGTTGTCGGCCGGGGGAGGGCGCAGCCAGCGATCACAGGTTAGGCGCATGGGGGGGGGGGGCAAGCTCCGGGACCGGAAAAGGAGGACAGACAAGGCACGACGCACCAAAGTGCACGGCAATCCGGAGCATGGCCCGCGGCGTGAGGGGGAGATCCGACCGGAGGAGCGTGGCCAGGCACGAGTAGTAGAGCTCGGTGATGGCGGCGCGCGGCTGCTCGGAATAGGCCAGGAGCTTGAGAATGCCGAACTCCTCGCGCAATGTCCAGAGAATGGTGATCTCATTGTGGAAGGCCGAGCGCCCAGCCGGCGAGGCGGGATCACGATAGGTTTTGATGGCCACCGAGCCCCGGGTCTGCAGCGTCTGCCGGAGCTGGGGGTTGAGGATGCGCGCGGAGGAGACCGATGCCTGAAGCCCCTCGCCGAGGGGTTCGAGCATCATGAAGTCGATTTCGGCCGACACGAGGACCGAATCCGGAGGGGAGAGATCTGGTTCGGGAGGTGGGCGAGGAGCAGGGGGGGGG